AATAATAATAATAATAATAATAATAATAATAATAATAATAATAATAAATATTTTAAAGAGAGAGACAGAAGCCAAGATGGACAACTCCTGGGGTCATGACACAAGGTTAGCCACTGGCCTCGACATATAAACACACACTTGTACATGTACACAGAGAAGAGCAAAAATGCTACAGAATCCTTTGTGCCAGGCCTGAAATTGAGTGTCAGAAGTGCTAAGAGATACATGTTCTCCATGCCCTTAGGCAACCCCACCAAGATGTATGAAGTAGTTTATAAAACAGGATCTGAGACCCATTCTGACTTCTACGACATTGTCCTTGTGGCTGCGCCACTGAACCGGAAGATGTCCAACATAACTTTCCATGGTTTCAATCCGCCCATTGAGGAGTTCAACGACCCATATCAACACCTGGTGACGACTTTGATTAAAGGAGAACTGAATTCCACTTTCTTCAGCTCCAGACCCAAGGAGCAGTTTGGTCTCTCTGCGATTCTACTCACTGATGACTCCAATATGTTTATTAACAGCCTGTCCATTGTATCTTCTATAAGAGCCAAGGAGGGCCCCGCACCTCCAACGGATGGGATGCATGTGTGGAAGACCTTCTCCAGGGACATTCTCACCGAGGAACAAATTTCAAAGCTCTTCCTGTCCTATGAGTATGCTGTCCGGAAGCCGTGGCTGTCCTACCCGTACTATGAGCCTCCTCAGAAGTGTCCCTCCATCATCCTCCATGACCGGCTCTATTACCTCAATGGCATCGAGTTTGCCGCCAGCTGCATGGAGATGAGTGCCATTGCTGGCTACAACGCAGCTCTCCTTGCCTATCACCGTTGGAACGGCCACGAGGACATGATTGACCAGGATGATCTGTATGAAAAGCTTAAAACGGAGCTGTAACTGCTTCTCCCCAGAGCGTCCTGCCCTGGCCGATCAGCGGAGAGGATTTTGAATCTCTACCAGCACTCTTCATGTGGGTCATGAGAAAACAACATTCCTGACATTCCTTCAGCCGGAATGTCTTCACTCTTACATTTGGGGGAGGGGCACGAGGAGGTTTGAACCCAAGGCCCCCGTGCATGCTGGGCAAGCACTGTATACCAAGCTGAGCTGCACCCCTAGCCCTCTTTGTGGCTTTTCTTTTGAGACTGGGTCTCACTAAGTTTTCCAGGTAGAATTCTCCTGCCTCAGCCTCCTGAGGCCTGGCTCTTAACTATCTGGGGAACCATTGGAGTGTTTCCCAGGCTTGTCTGGTTTTAAGAGGCACTTGAAAGTTGATAAATACCTGGATTTGGGTTCAGTGGGCTGGATTTGCTTAGATTGTAATCTTTCTTTCTTTTTTCCTCTCTCTCTCTTTTCTTCCTTTTGGGGGAGTTTGTTGAAACTAGGTCTTACTCTACCCCAAGGCTGGCCTTTAAATCACAGCAACCCTCCTGTCTCAGCCTCCCATGTGCTGGTATACAGGTGTGAACTCTAATTCCTGGCAGTTTACACTTTTCTGATGGAAATCTGCTGAAGCCTGAAGTCAATGTGGAGTTTTTTATTGCATCTTTCTTGGTTTTATCAGGGATAGATTCAGAGATAGAAACAGAGATATCCTGTGAAATGGGAACCAAATATAGGCTATTAAATCAAGAAACTGGCATTGTCATCTGAGGCCCTCATGAAGAAGTTTGTGTTTTTCTGTACTGTGCTGGGGATTGAACCCAGGAATCAGACAAGTGCTTTACCGGTGAGCTACAGTCCCAGCTCTAAGAGCTTTAGGACCCACATGTAGAGAATGGGATTTTCTGGGTTGAGGATGGACTCTTGGCACTGTAGCATTTGTCAAGTTCAAGTGTCTAGCACAAAGCCAAATTCACAGGTCCAGGTGTGGGGTTAAACCATCTCTAGATAGCTTTGAGTGCCTTAAAAGTACTGAGCAACGCAAATCGTGACCACAGCAGACCTGTGCCAGGGGTGACGGCTGTGTTGCTATTAGCAGCGGTCTTCATGGGAACAGCACTAGAGCAGAGGCAGCTTGGGTGACCCCAGAGCAGGTGGCCTTAGAACTGTGTCTTCATGGCGACTTGAGTTCAGAGGTAAGCTCATCAGATGCTGGGCATCCAAGGTAAGGGGCTGTTGCTGAAATCTTCAGACAATGGCGCTCAGCTGTGGTTGCTTCTCACTTGTAGCGAAGTTCAAGAATCCTAGCTTTTTAGAAAACTGCTCAAAGGTCACCAGTGACTGTCACAGCCACAAATATTAAGAGAAAAGAAGTAATTTTGCCTGCTTTGATGGTGCCTATATTCTCAGTACTTTTGTGGCAAGAGGGGTAAGAGTTCAAGGCCAGCCGGACATGGTGGCTCCTGCCTCTAATCCCAGCACTCTAGGAGGCAGAGGCAGGCGGATCTCTGTGAATTAGAGACCAGCCTGGGCTGTGGCAACACTGAGTCTCAAGGAATAAAAACCAACTCCCTTCACCAGATTATAGCATTGCAGCAGTAAAGTGGTCTGAGGAAACACTGATTCTTAAAAATTACTTTTCCCCTGGTATAGCTGTGGGAATTAATAATGTGTGGAGAAGGCAGCCATTATATTTGATATAGTGAAAGGAATTAACTTCATAGTTTATCAAAAGGTTGCCTTTTTTCTAATTTGTTCAGAGACATTTGTATTTGTTTCTGTTGTGGTTTTAATGAACATGGTTTGTCAGAAATAGAACCCTGTTGTGGATTTGGTACAGTGGTTCCTCATCTGAGGGGGATGTGTTTCATGACCTCGAGGGGCACCCGGAACTGGGAAGCCGTGAGTCTCACATGTTCTATTTCCACATGTACAATATCCTGTGATAAAGTTTTAATTTACAAATTTGGCACAGTAAGAGAGTAACAACAATAATTATAAAATAAAAGAATTATAATAATTCACCATAATGGAAGTCAATTAAAACTTACAATGTCTGGTCTTTTTCTTTTGCGGGGGGGTTGGGGTGGGGCCTCACTGTTTCTTTGGCTGGCCTCAGAGTCATAGAGACAGCCTGTTCTGCCATCCCTGTGCTGCCACCACATCCACCAGCTATTCCTGGTAATTTCCATTGAGTATTTTCAGATCAACAAAAAAGCAACACCATCTACAGGAGGACTGCTGCAAATGCAGGAAACAAGATAATTGCATTTCTACTATTGTGGACTTGATTTGCAATGGGATTATATTTAGGCTTGTAATTTAAAATTTTGCTGGTGGGCCAGAGGGTTGGCTCAGTGGTTTGGAGCTGCAGGCAAAGTACACATACATGTACATTTTAAAAATTAAGAAAAAAAAATCTTTAGCCAGGTGTAACACATACCTTCAGTCCCAGTGCTTGGGAGGCAGAGGCAGGTGGAGCTCTATGACTGTGAGGCTAGCCTGGTCTACCTAGTGAGTTCCAGGTCAGCCAGGGCAACACACTGAGCCCTTATCTAATCTAAAATAATAATAGTAATAGTAATAAATAAGTGCAAAAAAAAAGAAAGTTTGATAAAAAGTTTGAAATGAAAATACACATGGCCCCATCTTTAGGTAATGGTAAGACAGGCCATTTGGAGAAGGTACATGCATTTCTCTGCAGAGCAACCATTATATAAATCTGCCTTAAGGCTTCTGAGATGATTACACAGTGCCCCAAGGGGGTACAAAGCCAAACACAGGCAGCAGGACATGGTACAACTCCAGAACTGCATGCTTGCTTTATGTAGTGAGCTCCAGGACAACCAGAGCTATGTAGAAAAACCCTGTCTCAAAAAAATAGAAAAAAGGGATGTAACCTAGTGAGCATGCTCACTAAAGATCATAGTTCAATAAGGAAAGATAGTGATGATCGACAACCTTCTCCCTTCCAACAAGCACAGCCTGTGTTGTGAACACAGAGCCGGAAAGATTGCCAAGGGAGGTTTCTACACAGATGCTGGGTGGAAGATCGTTAAGTGCTGGCTGCTATCACCACCACAGGGAATGTCAGCAGCTGGAAGAAAGGCCATTCGGAAAGGGTTAGTGAGGGCTCAGAGAGCTCTGATATGACAGCTTCTTGCCCTCAGGTGTCCGTGACCCCCATCTCCAAGCTTTACAGTAATTTAGCTATTGAAGCTGCCTCAAAGCAGGTGAGCTTATGGCTTTGGGTCCAGCTTGTTCACTCAGGAACTTGATTTGCATATTCTGCCTAGAGCTACAGGGACAAGCTGAAGGTGTAGGAGTAAAAGTACTGAGTTAACCAGAAAAGTGCTTCGAGAGGAGGCAGAGATAGAGTGTAAATTCCCAAGTTAACCCCTCTGAAGGAAGGGGAGTTCTTTCATAACAGTTTGGAGTTTGTCTCCTTTTAAAAAATTTTGTTATCTTATGTGTATATATGTTTGCATGTATTCTACACTGCGTGTGTGCCTGCTGCCTGCTGCAACCAGAAAAGAGCATCAGATCACCTGGAACTGGAGTTAAAGATGGTTCTGAGCTATGCAGTGGATGCTGGGAATCAAACCTGAGTCCTCTGGAAGATAGCCAGTGCTCTGAGCCATCTCTCCAGTCCCTCATCTTTTCAGTAGTTCACCTTACGGTGTCAGGGCTTTTTTGAGATTGTCCATGTAGGGAACATGGCTATGGGTCATTAGGAGCTAGGCTCTGAATGTTTGTATAAGACATCACAAGTCACTGGACTCAGGCTCCAAGCGGTGGTCTGGTTGTTACAGTGTGAGGATTTTTGCTCTACTCTCATCCTGTCCCTTTCCATGGTCCCTGATAGATCAGGAATCAAACCACTGACAAGGGATGAAGCTAATGTGGAGCTCCTGAACAGAGGCACTGAGGGGCCCGGTTAGCCTTAGAGATCCACCATAGAGCTGTGGAACTATAAGGCACAGAGGTGTTTAATGTGCCTATAGAGAATGAGGGCTCTGGGTGTGGCTCAGTTGATAGCTGGCCTAGTATGCATGAAGCTCTGGTCTCCATGGGAGAAGCTCGGTCTCCATAGGAGAAGCTCTTGCAGTTGTATGAGCAAGGGCAGCTTGGGTAGTCCCAGAGAAGTCACCCTAAAGCCTTCAGCATGACGCAGAGTGCTGGGGTTCAAAGTAAAGTACACAGATGCAGGCCATGTTGATGTCCAAGGTCCATGCTAGCCTTTAATTCACAGAGATCCTTTTGCCTCTACTTCCTAAGTGCACCACCACCACAGCGAGGCTCTTCTTTCCCCCTTTATTTAGCTGCAAAACAACTATCGCCCAAAGCCTCTTCTTACTGGAAGTACATTTTCTTTTCCTGTTTCTCACCAACTCTTCTGCCTGTTTTTCCTCTGGTTAGGGCTGCTGAGTTTAGTACACTGAGATTTCTGGAAATGCTTTATCTCTGGAACTCCAGTTGTTAAAACTGGGAAAGCCAGCCCTGAGGTGAGCACCACACCCACAAAGCTAAGGTAGGGTATCCCACACTGGTAGGGAAGGCCTTCCCCACCTACCTATTTAAGCTGTTTCAGATTTCTTTCTTTTTTTTTTAATCCTTGTGCCAGGCCTAACCCTGACAGCTTTTTGCCACCATCTACAGAAGCACAAAAACATTTCTTATGAATCCACAGCCCTTTAAAACTTCTGGCATACCCTCCCCAATGTTGCTAGGGAGCCCTGCCTGCTCTTTTCTCTTTTTTTCCTTTGTTGTCCTGGGGACTGAACCAGGATTCATTATTCTAGGCAAAAGCTATACAATTAGCTCATGTCTTCCATTTTGTTTGAATTCTTTAATTTTACTGTGGATCAGGACATTTTTTAAAAATAAGATTTAAAATTTTTATTTATGTGTATGTGTTACGGAAACCTTTTTGGAATAAGCACTCCAATGCCAGTGAGAGTGGAAGAGAGATGTATTCACCAGTGGACTAAGGCCAGGATAGCTCCCAAAGGAAAAAGACCTGTCCCAGCTCTGGTTTGCATTCTCAGTTTATACTCTGAAAACCATCAGGCCGGGGCTGGGGATTGGAGGTCGTGTGGGGTAGTGTGAACAAGTGAGATTTTACTCAAGTGTCTTTGGCAGTCAGCTTTTTGTTTTTAAAGGCATATATTATAGTTGGCAGTGTAAGCTTATGTGGTCAGTTTGTCAAGGGCACTGACCTGTTGTTTCAGCTGTCTCCATGTCAGCTCCAGGTAGCAAGTGAAACCATGCCCAAGAATGAGCAGTACAAACAGTGCCATAAGAAAATCTAATAGTCTTTCTACCTTATTCTACTTCGGTATATATGCACCATTTATGGGGATGTCCATGGAAGCCAAAAGGAGTTACAGGTGGTTGAGCTGTCCATTGTGGGTGTTGCTAACTGAACTCAGATGCTCTGGAAGAACAGCAAACCTTAACCACTGAACCATCTTCTCTAGCTCCTTAGGCCATTTTATTTTATTTTGAGACAGGGTTTCTTTATGGTGCCTTCATTCTTTTGAAACTATGTAGACCAGGTTTCCCTTGAACTCACAAAGATCTGCCTTCCTCTGCCAAGTGCTGGGATTACAAGACATGCTCCACCATGTCTGACTTTTGACTATTTTTTAAATGAGAAAATATTAAAATTTCAGACTTTTGATATTAGGTCAAGAGATATAAGATACACAGAGGCACCAAGGTAGTTGGAGAGCCCTTTTGTAACTTGTAACCATGCAGAATACTAAATCCAAACCATCAGGAAGGTTCCTGTGGGAAATCTTAGCTATCTGTTCTACCAATAGCTTTCTATGTTATCTATGGCTAGAGTAATGTTATTGCTGTTACACAGTCAGAGATTAAGGAAAAGGATGGTCTTCAAATATGTTGTAGAGGGCAAAAAAGTCTGTGCACACAGTTAAGCACTGGAGAAGCCAGGGAAGTTAAACACACGGCTTATTTCTTCAATGGAATGAGGTGCTTAGCTGGGGAAAAATGTAGTTTGCAACTTGGTAATCCTTTGCTACCTGTTAAGCCAGGGCCCCATCTTTATCTTCTAGAATGTTTTACTTATCCCAGATCCTTTCCCCCTAAAATTTTGAGCATCACTTCTAAGCCATAAAACTCATCCTTGAGATGTCATTTGTACTTAGCCTAAAAGACTTCTGTTATCTCAGGGCCAGGCCAATCCTGACACCCACAGACATTGTTTACCTCAATCTCCCCAGACCCTAAGTCTTAGGTGCTACCTCTGAGTCAACAGTACCCATTCTTGAGAAAGAAGCGAGATGTACTTTATAAAGACTCTCAAGGCAAATGTCTTATATTGTTGTGCACTTGGGACAGAGTTATCAGAAAACTTTCCTCCCAAAAATTGTGCTGTGCTTAAATATGGCTAAAGTTAAATGACCTGGGCCAGACTAGAAGTCCTGACCCAGCACTGATTACCAAATTTGGGCTGATCCTAGTTTCATTCTTACCCTGATCATTTCCCCTGCCTGTTGAAAAGCCTGCAGGGATCTCCCCACAATGGGTCATTGAAATATCAACCTAGTTCTAAAGGTAGAAAAATTGCTCCAAAGACCAGAAAAGCAACACAGGAAGCAACCCAGACACTAGCTGGGCACAGAATAACCCCAATAAAAAAGGCTGAATTCAGGGTTCACAATATGGTGGACCACTATCTTTTGAAAACTGGCAAGTGAGTTTCACCCAGATACAAGAGACTGTGGGAAACTACATTGGTTCTGCTTGACATTTTCTCCAGCTGGCCTACACATCCCTCAAATAAAAATCTTGAAGTAGCTTGAGTTTACACAAGGACATTATTCTCAGCTCCTGGCTGTCTTGACTCTTTACGGAGACAAAGGTCCTGCCTTCATCTCCACAATAAAAAAGTGGGGAGAGGCTGGAGAGGAACAGAGCTCCAGTTCACTGGAGACACACACTACCCAGGGACCTCGAATGACAAAAGATAGACTTACCTCCACACATGCATTGACATACATATACACCCACAAGAAGAGTATTACCACATATATAAAGTTACAAATAGGAAATATACACGAACTTATTTAAGTTTGGATCCTGTGGTGGCTTCACTGAGAATAGCCCCTTTAGGGCTGCTGTGTATGAGTACTTGGTCCTCAGCTGGTAGAACCGTTTGGGAAGGATTTAGGAAGTGAGGCCTTATTAAAGGTGTTTAATAGGGTTGGGCTTTGGGATTTCAAAAGCCCAGGCCATTCCCAGTTAGTTTTCTGCCTACAGATACGAGCTCTAAGCAACTGCTCCAGCACCATGCTTGCTCTCTGCCACACTCCTGCCATGATAGTCATAGACTCACCCTCTCTGTAAGGCCCCAATAAACTTTCTCCCCTTCTATAAACTGTCTCGGTTATGGTGTCTTTTTCACAGCAATAGAAAAGCACATGAAGGCAGATCCCATACCAAGATAGTTCATGACATATAAGGGAATATTCTAAAACCTGAAACCCATGTCCCAAGAAATCCACAAAAGGGACTCAACTCAAGTTTGAAGTTACAGGAGGTCAGAGACACTAGAATTAATGTCTGAAAGCCATATATTTGTAGCCCACATGCTCAGTGTTACAGACTTCTTGTCTCCTTTCATATTGAGCAAGAAGCTTCTACTTGAATGCATAAAACTCCTTGAAACAGTTCGACCAGGAACACTTGTTGAGAAAATGCTCAACTTGTACATTTAGAACACTAGAAATGCACTTCTGAGTATCACAAAAGTTTATTTAGCAAAAGGTTTTGTATGAAAATGTACATGACCCAATTCTACATCACAATCAAACAGGTCCTTTAAGGAGGGATGCGATGCTTCTATTCAACAGACATCGTTTAGACTCTTTCCAAGGCTTCTAACATGATGATGCTGTTTCCTCGTATGACCTAGAGAAAAGTCAGTTGAAAGAATTTCATTTAAAAGACAGATCATAATTTTCCAACATGACACACCAGTGTGGCTTTTCTCAAGCCACAACCAAGTTAATCTTTAAATCAAGGTATGAGTGAGATATAGTGGCACACATCTTTAATCTCAGTAACTCAAAAGCAGAAGAATCTCTGAGTTCCCGGCCAGCCAGGGCTGCACAGTGAAATCCCACATTAAGGAAAAAAGAAAAAGGAGAGAGAGAGAACACCACTTTTCAAGGCTGAAAAGTAATGATTAACTTTGAGATCCCAAGTCACTGTGACTTAGCTTTTAGGAACCAAGGGTTACTTGCATGTGCCAACTGACAGCTGTTTCTTCATCTTTAATCAAGGACTATAAATTTTTATTACAGATAATAGCCATTATTATTATTAGTGCACTCAGATTCTGAGGCGAGAATATAGGTGTATATCACCACAGTTAGTTCTGAAGTAAGTAATACCATAAACTTTGGATCTGAAATTATGTAAAAGAATCATTTAAAACACACAAGTAGGGCTGGAGAGATGGCTCAGAGGTTAAGAGCGCTGGTTGTCCTGGACTCACTTTGTAGACTAGGCTGGCCTGAACTCACAGAGATCTGCATGCCTCTGCCTCCCCTGAATGCTGGGATTACAGGCATGTACCACTGTGCCTGACTGCAACAAGTACTCTTAACACTGAGCAAGGGGCCTGAAGAGATGGCTCAGTGGTTAATAGCACTGGCCTTATCTGTACTTCTAGTTCCAGAGGATCCAACACCCTCTTCTGGACTACACAGACAAGAGGCATACACATAGTTCAGACATAGATACAGGCAGAACACCCATATACATAAAATAATTAAACAAGCAAATAAGAAACAGCTGAGCCATTTTCTTCAGCTCCTGAAATCTGTATCTTAACAAGATCTCCTAAGGCATCACATGCGTGTTAGACAATTTTTTTACTGTAGTTAAAGTCTGGCTATGTATGCCCATCTCTTATAGGATAAAGCTCAAAATTGATTTCCAACAGCTAGCCGTTTCAAGACTTAGGCTGAGAAGGGCTCTGCAGAAGTGAGATCTTATCTACAGGGACCTAGAATATTATCCCAGTTGAATGTGTCCACAGGTAAAAGGAAAAAGAAAATGTAAAGTCTCAATCTTTTCTATGTCTTTCATAGGGTAACTGACTTTGATTTAATCTGAGGCTCTGACATACGGGAGGTGAAGACATTAAAGAAGATAAGCATCTTTACTTACCACCATTCCTATGTTATTCTGTTGCCCACTAGTTGCCATCTCCACACACTCATCAATCACAAGATTCATAAAGGGATCAAAGCCCCGAAGTATTCCTTGTACATGTCTGCCACCATTTAACTTTACTATAAGAAGGGAAAAAGAAGTTTTAATAATGCTCCAATAAAGTTTCAACCATCTACTAGCTACCCCTACTAGCTGCCTAAGCCTGGGCTAAATATTTTAGCTCTTCATTTCCTACATGTTAGCCTTTAAGAGTCCAGGAAGATATTACATGTGAGTCTCATGACTGTAATCCCAGCACTTGGCAACAATGGAAGCCTGCTTCAAAAGGAGTCTGAGACTAGACTGGACCACAAATCGAGATCCTGTCTCAATGACTGCCCCCTGAATAAAACCTCCCCAACACATGTAAGTAGTAGTATCTTTACAGAAATGAATCCAAGTTCCAAATAACAGGGTTCAAAGTTAAGAGCTGTTATATGGCAGTGAGAGATTCAAAAGAAGGCTAAACGCCCTAAAGCCCAAATTTAAAATTTTCAATATACTTTAACTGCATGGATCAGGTTTTCCCTAGTCACAAGAAACACCAAGTGCTGGCTGGCCAATTTCTTGGTTAACTTGTTTAAAGAAAAGGGGTTGATAAATTTCAAATATTATAACATAGGAAACTCCTAATTCAGTCAATTCCAGAGAGGCACAGATGACACAACCTGAAGTATTAGCTACAGGCAGTTAGAAATTAGGCAAAGTCTAGTTAGAACGCTGATAAGCCTGAGTAATAAAGATGAATTGGATGTTTTGTGCACTTCAAATTTCTATAACCTGCTTCCAAAAATTATACATTCCTAAGACAACAACAAAACACTAAGAAATTGAGGTGATGACAAACTTACACGATAACTTCTTGTCCATAAATCTGAAAAAGCAAGAGTAAAAATTATGACTTACTTAAAAAATTTTAAGCATAAACAAGCACAGAATCAATTAAACTAAAAATACTTTGCTGGGGCTGGGAGAAGATCGCTCAGATGCTAAGTATGCTTGATGGTCCTCCAGAGGACCCGAGATCAGTTTCCAGTATCCATGCCTGGAGATTGACCAGCTCCTGTGAACTTCAGCTCCAGGGTATCCTAGGGCACCTACACTCAAATGCACACACACTCACACATACATATAATAAAGTAAGTCCTGTTTTGTTTTTTCCAGACAGGGTTTTTCTGTGTAGCCCTGACTGTCCTGGAACTCACTGCGTAGACCACACTGGCCTCAAACTCACATGTCAGAAGCAGAGAATAAATTCCTTAAGATGTGTTGACCCCCACAGCTGGCATATGCAGACATATATGCAAACTGATATAAAAAAGATACTTTAAAATTTGTACAACAGAAAAATAACTACCCCCACTACTGCACCCCAAGACAGGGTTTCTCTGTGTAGCTTTGGCTGTCCTAGACTTTGTAGACCTTGAACTCCCAGAAATTACAGGTGTGTGCCACTGCCTGGCTGAAACATAACATTTAAAACAGCAAAAACCCTGCATTGTGTGTGTATGAGTGTATGTGTACCAGGGCAGTTGTCATCAGCAGCCAGAAGAGCATCAGATAACCTAAAGTTGTCACAGGCAGTTGTGACTTGTCCAGTGTGGATGCTAGGAACTGAACTCAGGTTGCTCTTAACTGCTCAGTCATTTATCCAACCCCCAAATCCTGTACTGTTGTCATGTGTTAGCATATTTAAACTAATGTAATTACAAAGATTTGGTTACATTTTTGGTTATTCCTAAAAGCTGCTAGGCAGTGATGGCACAGGCCTTAAATCCCAGCACTCGAAAAGCAGTGAGTCTACAGAGTGAGTTCCAGGACAGCCAAGGCTACACACAGAGAAACCCTATTTATAAAAAAACAAAACCAAAAACAAAAAAACCAAAAACAAACAATAAACAAAGCTATATCCAGGGACTGGAGAGATGGCTCAGAGGTTAAGAGTGCTGGCTGTTCTTCCAGAGGTCCTGAGTTCAATTTCCAGCAACCACATGGTGGCTCACAACCATCTAGAGATCTGGTGCCCTCTTTTGGTGGGCAGGTGTACACGCAGGCAGAACACTGTGTACATAATAAATCTTAAAAAAAAAAAAAAAAAAAAAGCTGCATTCAATTCAGCAAGTACCTGGCCTGAAGCTCTGTAGCCCAAGTTGACCTCCATTTTACAATCTTGTGTGTGTGTGATATTACCGAGTATGCCAATATGCCTGGCAATAGTGTTTTATTTAACATTAAAAGTATTAGGCTTAAGTGTTCAGCATAGCCCTCAACATGTGTTAGTGAAATAAGTGCATACTTTAAAACTTTAATTTGGAGTAAGTATGAAAATCCCATCCCAGAAAAACACATAAGGTCATTAAAACATGCTGTCAAGTCACATAAAACTTTTTATTTGTATAACTGCTGTGTCTGTGTGAATGTATGCTGTTTGTGGGTGGGTACTCAAAGAGGACAGAACAGTGTTAAACACCCTGAAAAAGCAGGAAGCATTCATAAACCACTGAGCCTTCTCTCCAGTACACAAATCAGCTAAATTTTAAAAACAAAATTATTTTGTTTTATGGTTCACCATGATGCCAATCAGTATGAAGTCTGAGGTAAACTTCCAGGATTTGGTTCTGTCCTTCAACCATATGGTCCAAGAGGTTTGATTCAGGTCATCAGATGTGGAGGCAAGTGCCTTTACCTTTGGGAGACACCTCACTAGCCTGTCAAATCAGTTGTCTTCCAGCAATAGGCTAGAAAATATGAGAAATTTCCTTTCTCTTCTCCCTTTTTTTCTTTCCTCACCATACTGTCAGCTACATCTCTCTTTAGAGGATATTATAGGCCTATGCCACCAGGCATTGCTTCATTGAGTTTTAATGTATTGAGCATCATAGAATTCAAATATAAATTTAAGCTATAGAGTATGACAGAAGGTGGGAATAGATTTACAAGTAAAATTTATAAAATACTAAGTTTTAATAGGAGTTATTTCATAAAGCAGCAAACAGGGAGCATATTGAATACAAGTCCGGTACCTATTATTACCACATTAAACAGAAAACCAAGGCTCAGTGTGGAGATTTGAATGAGAATGGGCCCACAGGATCATATATTTGTATGCTTAGTTCACCAGTGGATGAACCGTTTGGGAAGGGTTAGGAGGTGAGTCCTTGCTGGAGGAGGTCTCACTGGAGTGGGCTTTGAGGTTTCAAAAGGCAACATTAGTCCTAGTGTCTCTCTGCCCTGACAGCTGCTTGAGGGTCACATGGAAAGCTACTGTCTGCTTATGAAGATCACAGGTTAACTCTCTAAAATGTAAACAAGCTCCCAGTTAAAAGTGTTCTTTTTTTTTCTTTACATATTTTGACTTTATTTTTTTAATTTTTTTTTTTTATTTTTAAATAATTTTATACATTCCCTTTTATCCCAGCTGTAGCCCTCTTTCCCTCCCAAAAGCTTTCTTTTAAAAAGAGTTGTCTTGGTCATATCTCTTTACAGCAACTGGACAGTAACTAAGACACTAAAGTTTGGTAATTTTTCTTAGTCTTATACCATCTAAGAATATGGCTGCACTGCAATACTGCAGATGGAGGTGCTTCAAAGCTGGGCTAAAGCATGGATTTGTCTTTGCAGCAATAGATAAACTACTACATGAGAATCAATCAGTGGTTAAGACTTACTATGGCAGCAAATTTTAAGGGAGGAACTTAACTTTGAAACTACCGAGACATGGGGCCAGATGTGATTAAGAGTTGAGGCCAGGCATGGCGGCCCACGCCTGTGAATCCCAGCACTCAGAGAGGTAGGGACAGGTGGATCCCTGAGCTGGAGGCCAGCGAGTCTAGGACAGCCAAGGCTAATACAGAAAAACCCTGTCTTGAAAAACCAAAAAAAAATTAAATAAAAAAAAAAAAAAAAAAAAAAAACAAAAAACACTGAGTTATACTAAACTAGGAGTGAAAAGCTGTAAAATAAGGAAGTGTTTATGAGAAAATAAAGGAGGCAGATCTAATAGTATATCAAAATTCTTAAAATCTAGGTATGAGAAGAGAAAAAGCTATCAACTGAGCGAACAGGAGATGAAGCTCAGCGATAGGGTAGCATGCGCGAGGCCCTGCTGCAAACACACACCACAAACAAGCCAACAAAAATGTCAAAACAAAACTAATATGGTTACAATCACTAGTTCCAGTCTCAGAAAGATCCAAGTATATCCATTAAGAATCAAGAGTACAAGACAGGCGCAGTGGTGCATGCCTGTAATAACAGCACTCTGGAAGGCCGATCACTGTGAGTTCGAGGCCAGCCTGTTCTATAAAGTTAGTGCAGGACAGCCAAGGCTACCCAGAGAAGCCCTCTCAAAAAACAAAACAAACAAACAAACAAAAACAAGTGTATAAGCCGGATTGCTGTGAGTTCAAGGCTCTACACATTGAATACAGGACAACGAAGGCTACACAGAAAAGCCCTGTCTCAAAAATCTTAAAAATTCCTGGGCTGGAGAGATGGGTCAATGGTTAAGGAGCACTGTCTGCCCTTCCAAAGGACTTGGGTTCAATTCCCATCATCCACATGGCAGCTCACAACTGCCTGTAACCCCAATTCCAAGGGCTCTGACACCTTCACGCTAATGCACGTAAAATAAAATTATTTTTAAAAATCCTGCTGAATCTAAACAATATAAGACTTTATTTACTAGCTCATCAATAAAACAAACAGGTAAGTTAAATTTCTACTTTAAAAATCTCAGCATTACATATGGGACAGGTTCAGGCCAGTCAGAAGTGTCTCAGACCAAAGGGTCCTGTTGAAAAGGTGTCTTACTAATTGATTTTACTGGGTGCAGAATAAAATCCTTCAAAAACTAGCTTCCTCCAATTAGAAAATGGATGTTCCTTCACGGATTTATCACCAGGGTAAACTACTACACATTTTAATTTAACTTGAACACAAGAAGGGCAATGAATCAGAAACCTAGTTCTCGGGGATTGGGGAGATGGCACACCGCTGCGCCAGAGGGCTCACAACCGCCTGTAAGTCCTGCTCCATCGGGCCGACGCCTCCTCTGGCCTCCGTAGGAACTGCACCCACAAACACAAGTAATGTCTGTGAGCATCAAAGAGGGAAAAAAAAAAAAAAAAAGATAAATCTAGCTCTCTAAAAAACGCAATAGAATGTGCACATTTACCGAACCATAACACGCTACTTCATAAGAACTTAAAAAATTTAAAAAAAGGGGGCAAGGAAGAGGAGTGGTACTTTCTAAAGCAACATACACAAATGCACTCTCTTTCTGTTTGAGGCAGAGCTCACTTTAGCCTAGAGTGGCCCGGGACTTGCGGAAACCTGCCTGCCTCAGCCACCTGAGCGGCTCCAAACGCACAGTTCAAGCCTGCGAGTTCCCAGTTCCTGGCAGACAACCACATGTCTGGACCGCTGCTCTGGGCCCCACCCGGTGGCCCTGTGGCCGCCCCCCGAGGACAGCCCAACCTTGGGGAGGCGGAGGCACCGGTACTGCGGTAACCATGCCGACCGGACCCGAGAGCCGCTTCCGGCCCGCGCGAGCGCCGGGACTCGCGGCCGCAGCCGGGGCGACACGGGAGGAGGGTCCGCGAGGCCAGCGAGGCTCGACCGGGCCGGCACTACTCACTTCTTCAGTTCGGGAGGGTGGGCCTTACTCATGGCGACTCCTAATGCGGGCTCGGCACGACAGGGAAGGAGCGTCCGGCCTCACGAAAGCGCGCGCGGCAGGCTCGGCGCTGAGCTAGCGTCACCACCCCGCGAGCCAATCGCCTTCCGGCAACCTCGCCCTTCATCCCGCGATACCGAGAGGGACGCCGGAGCGCGCGACCGGAGCCACGCTTCCGTGTGTGCCGTCCGTGCGTGGACGGAGAGGCGGGGCTCGGCCAAGCCTTCTTTGTGTAAAACTCAAGTGGCAGGCACGACTCTGGTTTGCGTGTCAACATTTTTCTTTTTTCACTACCTCCTTCCCTTTCCTCTACCTTCTCCTGTTTTTGATGTAATTCTTGTTGGCTTCGAGCTCACTGTGTAGTCAAAGCTGTCTTTGAACCCCTGCCTCTTCTGCTAGGATTATAGGCTGCGGCATCTCCCAGTCCTTTGTTTCCTGAACATAGCTAGGCGAAGTTGAGGATTCCTGAAGCACCCAAGTAAACGAATAGCTTGTTTGTGCTTGTGGCGGGCAGGCGACTAGGCCGATTCTCTTTAGGATGTGTATCCAGAGCCTGGAGCATTTTTGACAGTTAAGCATTTCTAACATTGCATTCAGAACCCACTTAGCACATGACGGTTCATACTGAAATGTGAGGCTTACCATACTAAAGTCCTATGATATTGAGCCTGCCTCTGCCTTCTGAGTGCCGAGAATAAAGGTGTGCACCTTTCCGGGCGGCACCACTGGGCTCGCTCATTAGTTATTAAAATGTCCCCACAGACGTGTCCACAGACCTGTTGGATGGAGGCAGTTCAATTGAGGTTCTTCACATGTGACTAGTTTGGGTCGTTGACAAAAACTTTTAACACAAGGAGTCTTAATGGTAAATTCTTCCGAACACTTGCTGTTAGTTGAAACTGGAAAACAAACATGGGTATTAACAGCTTTTTTTTTTTTTTTTGGTTTGAGTATTTTACACAAGCTGGCCTCAAATAGAGCAGTCCTCCTCCAGCCTTACATTACAGTACAGAGATTAATCCTGGGTATATTTTCAACATGAATAGACTTCAAGTTATGCTCTGGCTTTCCCTTAGTGTTTCCCATTTACTGATATGCACTCTCAGGATGTTTTAAATTTCATAGGCATACCGTTATCTACCCAGTAGGAAAAAGTTGGACACAATGAAACTTTATTTAAAAACCAAACCACTTGGAAAATATATTGCAGGCTTGACACAGCAAACAGACAGGTATATCATTGTTTCAAGTAATTGGTATAAATACAACATAGTACTTATCCAAAAGATAGGTGACATGTTGGGCCAGTAACGCTGAACTACAAAGTCCCAGGCAAAAATGGCATTTGATAACAAGGTGCTTACTTTTAGGACTCCTTGTTGTTAGGGGATTACCTCTATAAGGCTCTGTGAATTCAGGAGGCTGAGTAATACTGGGTTTGGACTTCCATTCTGTGAAATCTAGGTTTTCTCAAGTCCAGTACTTCTCAACAGTTCCTATTTTACTGTTTAATCTCAGCTACTGGTATATAAGTGACTGTCAAACCCTTTTCATGGGGATGTGTCACTTGGCTGCAGGAGTCAGTGAAGGAAGCTGTTTCCACACACAGTGTGACACCACCTGGCTTCTTCAGGGGCTTCCAGAACGACAGAACTGAAGAAAAGGACATTCCCATCGTGATGGCCAGAAAATACAAGGAACCTTTAGAACTTATTCAAATTATTCTCTCTCCTGTATCTTAAATCCATGTTGTGCCCTTGCACATAAGACAAAACCAAGCAAAATAAAGATCTGGGAAGGAAACCTTTTCCTCCCTCTAAATTATTAGTTCGCTGGGTTTTGTTTCACAGCATATGCAAGGTGCTGTGGTGACACTTGTGGTAAACAGGAGCTTGGCAACACACACACCTCTCCTCAAACTTTACCAGCAGGTTGAAGAAAGCTGCCAGCTTGGATGTCTGTGTAGTAGGAATCTAAGCCCTTGGTACAAGGGCATCTCTATTGCCAGAACAAGCACTTGCACACGAACGTTTAGGAGCTAGAATTCTCCCGTGTGCTATCTGTTATCCAAATTTTAGCACCAGCTTCTTTCCACTTCACCTTCTAAAATCCAGATGTAATGGAACCAGTATCGGGCGGTGAGAGGCATATGCCTGGAACTTTCTGTGTCCTGAGTTTTCCTCATCCATAAACATTGCTTAACATACTAAACTGCATTCTTCCTCTTAAATAGCCTGCCCTCAGCCCCAATGGTCACTGGCAAACAATTTTATTTCCCGATGGACGACAGAGACTCTTTCATCTTCTTGGTCATTGTTGGGATGAGGTGCATGTGGTCATCCACACACTTGGACACACAGCTGTCCAGCTGTCGCTTCACCTGCACCTCCTTATTTCCTGCATCCATCGAGTCTTTGGCTTTGTCATTGCAGTGCATGGTGCAACGGGCCAGGCGGTCCTGTGACGAGAAAGAAGAGAGAGGAGAGGGCTGAGAGGTTGGCTCCCATTGTCTGAGTGTTGGTACCATGTTAGGTCTTGGGCTACAGGCTTGATAAGGCTTGACTCTGCCAGTTACAAGGTAATACCGTCTTAGCTCAAACAGAAGGTGCCACGGGGATGGCTCAGACTAAGCACTGTTAGACATCGGAGGAATGAAAAAATGAATTTTATATAAGATGCTAGCAGCAAACAAAAAACTACTGTTACATTTATAAACACCTTGATTCTTCCAATTCACATGTGTGTAGTGTTGTGTATTTTTAGATATGTGTATTTGTGGATGTGGAGGCCCAAGGTACACGTTGGGAAACATCCTCCATTGTTCTTTCACACTGAGGCAGGGCTCTCAACCAAACCCAGAACTCACTGATGTGGCTTGCTCGCCAGCCTGTTCTGAAGATTCTGTCTCCACCTTCTGAGGCTGGAGTTACAGGTGGGCTGCCACACCCAAGAGACAATGGCTTCTGAACTCTGGGCCTCATGTTTGCATGGCAACTGCTTTAACCCTTCCCTAGCATCCCCCTGGCACACATTTTAATTCTTTACTATCTGTTCTTGCTACCGAAGAACGATTCAAACACCTGTCAAGTATCTACCACGTGCCGAGCTTTTTTCTACTGTGGAATACAGAAATGAACAAAGCATAAGTTCTGATCATATGGAATTTATAGTCCAGGGTGGAGATGTTAAGGAAAGAGCAGGATATGTGAATTGGAAATTCAGGAGTGAGGTCTGAACCACAGGTCTGAATGCAAGCACTATCAGGGGTATTTAACGGTTTGTCTTCTCTTGGCCACATTGTTATCTACAAACTCTATGCTCAAGAAATGTAAAGTTACCAGGTGTGGTGTCACATGCTAATTTTACTCCCAGCAGTTGGGAGGCAGAGGCAGACAGATCTGAGTTTGAGGACTCTACAGAGAGTGTTCCAGGACAGCTAGAACAGAGAAATCTTGTCTCAAAAACCAAAAAACTACCTAATTAATCCCCCACCACCAAAAAAGCAATCACAGACACAGACACACACAGTCACAAATCTGCAAAATAGTTTAAATAGGTTTCTAATGTTATGTTGGGCTGAATGTGGCCCACAGGATACAGGTTGAACACCCTTGGTTAGGATATTAGCAGTCATGTGAACAGAGACCAGGGCCAATGGCAGCTTGCATACTCTATGGTCAGAGGTTGGAAAGAGGAAAAAGCCCAGCAGAGATAAAAGGCCTGGAAGATGGAAAACCAAGTATTCTCTGGTCAAATGGTTAAAGTGCCTGAAGGAGAGGGAACTACTGTGCACACAGGTCAAGGCAAAGGACTGAGCAGTGACAGGTGGACCTAGCTCCATGACTGCCCTCCTCATCACAACCTTGAGCAGCTCTGCAAATGAGTTAGCCTGGAGTGACTGTAAAGTGAAGGGAAGGAGAAGTTTATAAAGCAACTCAAGAACCAACTTTCCAAAGATCTCATCCACAAATTTTTCAAAATGAAAAATGGAAAACATATTTTGTTGATTTACTTCACAATGGCTGTGGCTTTGAAGAGTTTTGTACATTGGGGTGTGAAAATGTGCTCTATATTAGGTATAACTGTTAAGGGAATGGAACCCCAGGCTATCAGAAGGGTTTGCTCCCAAAGGCCACAAAATACACGTAGAGCCATCTCTCCAGCCCTAGAAAAGGATATTTTAATTTATTTACCTTTATTTTATGTGCCTGTATTATGTCTATGTGTGAATGTCAGATCTTGGAGTTACAGACAGCTTTGAGCTGCCATGTGGATGCTGCGATTTGAACCTGGGTTTCCTGGAAGAGCAGTCAGTGCACCCTTAACCACTGAGCCATCTCTCCAGCCCTGGGAAAAGAGCTTTTATAGCACACTGTAGGGGCTTGGTGTCACAGGTCTATACTCCCAGCACTTGGGAGGCAGAGAGGAGGATTGCTATGAGTTTCAGGCCAGCCTGAGCAACAGAGCTGAGATCCTGTCTCAAAACACCTACTCTGCAATGCTTTTTATGACTGACCTTCCTGTGCCATCGAAGCCTCTCTCCAGGTGCCCCAAACTGGGGAAGGGTTAAGCCTACAAATACCACTAAGGTCTCGCCCCAGTCTTCACCTTTTAAATTGTGTGTGTGTGTGTGTGTGTGTGTGTGTGTGTGTGTGTGTGTGTGTATGTATGTGACTGATGTGTACTATGACATTCCTATAGCGGTCAGAGGACAACTTGTGGAGTTAGTTCTCTCCTTCCATCTTCAAGCAAGTTCTGGGGATCAAATTTAGGTTGTCAGGCTTGTGTGGCAAGTATTGATCTAGCCACCAAACTGCATCCACTGCATCCTTTAAAGACTAATGTCTTAGTTCGCTTTTCAGGAAACTTCGTTATTTTAAAAACTCACGAGGTTCCACTCGTAGCTGAGGAAGTATTGGCAGTTAAAAATAATTACTTTATATTTGTGTTCCTGAATATATGTATGTGCACCATATGTGTGCGGGAACCTGCAGAGGTCAGAAGAGTTGTCACATGTCATGGAATTGGAGTTCTAGATGTGGGTGCTGGGAACTCAACCTGGGTGTTCTTTAAGACCAGAAGTGCTCTCAGCCACTATGC